CCAGCTGAACTGATTATTTAAGCCATAGTTACGGTCATTTAACAACTATGTGGTTTGACTGCTACATCTCAAGAAAGGTTTTCCAGCCCCCGGCTATGATTACCATTTTGGTAACTGTCCTCACCTAGCCGCTGCTTGCCTGAGGGCCCAGAAGCTCCCCACTCTGCCTCTTTCCCTGGTCCCCAGACTGGTTTCTTTGCAGAGTGTCGGAGTGTCCATGGAGGTCAATGAGGCTTGAGGAGCTGAGGCTACACATGGCTGTGCAGGAGGGCGTGGCCCTGCAGGCAGGGTGCCTGCCAACCACCTGTCCACAAGGCTCTGGATTTGTCTCTCAATGAGAGTATGGCTTGCTGGAGAGCTCAGAGGCCACAGCTGAGCCCAGGAGGGGATGAAGTCACTTGGAACCCCTCTAGGAGAAAAGAGTCTGTGTGTAAGAAAGAAATTGGGAAGAAAACTATAGGGGTACAAATTCGCTAGAAGTTTCGCTATTGCAAGGTTACTTAAAGGAACACTGGACCAGTGCCGATGAGACCTGTTCTAACTGGCCCACAAATTAAGGATAAGAATTCAGGAACGTGCATAGCACTTTAAAATTGCCACAGTACCTAAGCATCACATCAACATGCCCAGTTCATTGAACATGGCGTAGACCAGTTTGCGCACTGAACTCACTAGCTGCAATTAGTCATGTGTGAGGACCATGTAACTGTCCAGCAAGGACTGGAAATGTTAAAGCTGGTCTTCTGGCTCAGATGCTTTAAGGACCACGGCTTGAGTGCAGTATCTCTCACCTCATTTGTTTCCCCACCCTGCCTGCACACTTTGAGCACATAGCAGGACTTTTAAAATCTTCCTTATGGACATTTAGAAATGCTTATAATGGGCCAGGCATGGTGGCTCATGCCTGTAATGCCAGCACTTTGGGAGGCTGAGGTGGGCAGATCCCTGAGGTCGGGAGTTCAAGACCAGCCTAGCCAACAATGTGAAACTCCATCTCTACTAAAAATACAAAATCAAAATAAAAGAAATACAAAATAAATAAAAGAATTTTAATTGGCTCATGGTTCTGCAGGCTGTACAGGAATCATATTAGCTTCTGCTTCTGGGGAGGCTTCAGGAAGCTTCTAGTCATGGCGGAAGGCAAAGGGGGAGTTTTCTTCTCACATGGCGGGAGCAGGAGCAAAAGAGAGAGATGGGGGAGATGGCACACCCTTCTACATGACCAGATTCCATGAGAACTCACTCACTGTTGTGAGAATAGCACAAAGGGGATGGTGCTAAACCATTCATGAGAAATCCACCCCCATGATCCAATCATCTCCCTCCAGACCCCACCTCCAACATTGGGGATTAAAACTGAACATGAGATTTGGATGGGGACACAGATCCAAACCATATCACGGGCACAGGACTAATGGCATTTAGTGGCCAGGAGACACAGATGTCACATGTCTTCATGCACAAACTGTTCTGCACAACTTTCAAATGTACTTACAGACATTACGTCGGTTAAAAAAAATTGCTTATAGGCCAGGCATGGTGGCTCACACCTGTAATCCCGGCACTTCAGGAGGCCAAGGCGAGCAGATCACCTGAGGTCAGGAGTTCAAGACCAGCCTGGTCAACATGGTAAAACTCCATCTCTATTAAAAATACAAAAAATTAGCTGGGTGTAAGCAACAAAAATTAATTTCTCACAACTCTAGAGGCTGGGAAGTCCAAGATCAAGGCACCAGCAAATTCAGAGTCTTGCAAGGGTTTAGGGTCTACTTTCTGGTTCATAGATGGTGTCTTCTTGCTGCATCCTCATGCAGTAGAAGGGGCGAGGCAGCTCCCTGGAGCCTCTTTTATAAGGCACTAATCTCATTCATGACAGCTCTTGCCCTTGTGACCTAATCACCTCCCAAAGGCCCCACTCCCATTAAAATACCATTACTTTGGGGATTAATTTCAACATGTGAATTTGGGGGAGATGCAAGCATTCAGTCCATAGTGCTGTCTTTCTCCTTGTAGGCAGTTTATAGGCACATCGTGCTCAACTTTATATCCCCAGCACCTCAAATGTGGCCTGGCTCACCGGTGTTTATGGAATGATTTGCTCCCTCAGGAAGACACATAATTTGAAGATGCTCCACCTGTGTGGCTTTCCTATTCTATATATTAACAATGTATGACTTCTTTGTTTATCCAGGATGTCATATATTCCTTCCCTAGAAGTAGCTTCAGCTTGGGAATTATGAGTCAGCTGTCCCTTTATAAAACAACCCAGGAGACCCGGAGAGTAGAAGGAGTGATGAGAAACTGCAGAGAGGAAGCAACACTCTTTGTAGCCTACTCACATTGGTTCCTTAGAGATTTTCTGACACAGGACTGGAAGTTGTGTGTGACTGTGAGCTTTTCCACTTAGGGACTACCCACTGCTGTCTCCTGTAGGACTTTGCTTATTGGAATTTCAGGATTCACTCGGAATACACAGAAAGCAGATTCTTCCTTTTGTCCACCCACCACCACGAGGCTCCTTCTTGGAGTTAGGCTGGGAGAATCCACTGGTTTCCAGTGTGGCCCAGCCCAGTGAGCCAGTGTGTCAAGTGTCCCTGCTCCGTGTGACTGACTTCGTACCCTTGGAGGAAGCGGAAACATCTCTAAGAATTAAAATTTAAAAAACCTGGAGCGAATGACAGAGGGAAAGGGGCAGATCTGAATGTGTCTGCTTCCAAAACAGAGGGCGCAAGAAGTAGATGACTTCCCCCCGAGCTCTTTAAATTATATTTTACATTCAGAAATTGATTTTTAATCCTGACGCAGTGCATAAACACACATATTGTGATGGTCAGTTTTATATGTCAACGTGGCTGGGCTACTGCCCAGCCATTTGGTCAAACACTAAGCTAGGTGTAGCTGGGAAGGTATTCTGGAGATGTGATTTAAAGTCTATAGTGAGTTGACTTTCAGTAAAGAAGATTACCCTAGATAATATGGGCGGGCCTGGTGTAATCAGTGGAAAGGTCTTAAGAGCAGAATAGAGGCTTCCCTGAAATAGAAGAAATTCGCCCTGGGGATAGCATCAACTTGTGCTGGAAAGTTTCTGCTGCCCTTCCTTCCTGCCCTGTGGACTTGACTGGCCAGTCCCAGAATCAGGCAAGACAATCCTTGCTGTAAATTTTTTTGGATGTATACATACAAATTTTTTAAGATAGAAAGAGTTTTAGGCTGGGCATGGTGGCTCACATCTGTAATCCCAGCACTTTGGGGGGCCAACACAGGTGGATCACTTGAGGTTAGGAGTTCAAGACCAGCCTGGCCAACATGGTGAAACCCTGTATCTACTAAAAATACAAAAATCAGCCGGGCATGGTAGCACACACCTGTAATCCCAGCTACTTGGGAGGCTGAGTCAGGAGAATCACTTGAACCCAGGAGGTGGAGGTTGCGGTGAGCCGAGATCATGCTACTGCACTCCAGCCTGGGCAACAGAGAGACACTCCACCTCAAAAAAAAAAAAAAAAAAAAAAAAAAAAAAAAAAAAAAAAAAAAGTTTTATATATGATTATTTGATTATTTATTCATTTATATTTCCTACTGGTTCTGTTTCCCTGGTGGAACTCTAACTGATACACATACAACTAGCAAAAGATACTCAAGACAGTTATTAACCTTTCCTATGTACAACAAACTTCTATACAGTCAATGCAGGACAGCCCTTTAAATCAGTTTTTTTTCCCTAGTAAAGGGTTATCAGCTGCCGTTTAAAAACCATACAGTGCTAGTGAAACTTCTCACACATGCTCCACTGGAAGGTCTGAGCATGAAACAAGTCTGCATGGACACCCTTCTAAGAGGAATCCTTGAGGGACAGAGCACCCAGACTGCACCTAATGGCCCTGCCCAAGTACTGCTGAGCAAGTGTCTCTAGGCCAGATCCTGGAGGAATTTGGACGCCTGCCCTCAGAAGAGGGGGAGAGGAAGGGTGTCAGAGCAGTAACCCTGGGGTCCTCTAAGAGACACAGAGAGGAAGGTGGAGGCATTGATGGGCTCCCCAGGAGGCCAGAGCACTGGAGGACAGGCTGTTCCTTTCCAGGAGCAGAGAACAAGCCAAGAAAACTCTTGGCAGAAATCCAGTTGGAGACAGCATCATGGAGCCATGGGACAATGTTTTGGCAGTGAGAACAATGTGGTTTTCATCGTTTTGAGACAGTAACTCAAAAGGACCTCACCTGCTGGGTTGATGGACTCAGTGCAAGCAACATCGGTTGATCGCATGCACCCAGAATGGGGGTGACTATCCTAAGAACATTTATGGGAAAAGAAAGCTGACGGTTTTAGTTTACCATGAGCTCAATCTGAACCAATCATGTCTAAAAAAAAAAAAAGAAGAAAGAAAAAAAAAAAAAAACCTTTCATTAAACACCCTGAATAACAAAAACATACTGTATCACCAGGTTCAATTGCAAATAGCATGAAACACTCTATCTAGTTTACACAGAAAGGGACTTCATACAGTGACTTACGTCCTTGCAAAGCTGATGGAATGGCTGTAGAGCAAGCTCAGAGCTAAGCTGCCAGGAACGACTCCCAAATGACAAGCTGCTGCCTTGGTCCTGATTGAAAAGCCAGGTAACGAGGAGGCTGCTGTCTCGCCTGCTGGGACCAGGGCCACCAGACAGCCTGTTCTAACTCCCTCACCTCCCCAGTGCTGGGACCTCTGCTGCGGTTGTCACAGGAAAACCCAACACTTCCTCAATCACACAGAAGCAGTGGAAACAGTTGCACTTAATGTTGTTCACCCTCTCCTTCCACATCTCATGAGACAGGTCTTCTTGGGGAAAGCCAGGCCACGGACTAGAGACAAAGATGCAAGGGAGTGTAGGAAGTGGAAGCTGCGGTTTCCACTGGGGAGCACGGCAGGTCTCTCTGCAGGATCTGTCCCACCCTCTCTTCCCACTTGCACACCTAGGAACACAGAGAAAGCAAACAAACAAACCAAAACACCCAGACACTCATAGCACCACTGAAAGTTTGGTACTCAACAGCTGACCTGCTAACATCTTGGAAGAAATGCAAGAAACCACTTTATTTTTACTCCTGAACCTTTTCTCTACCCACCTGCTCATCATCAGCACAGAGTTTAATGGCTCTAAAGGAAGACTGCCTAGGTTTGAATCCTGGTCTCGCCATTTATAGCTGTGTGACCTTGAAAAAAGTACTAACCTCTCTGTGCCTTGGTTCCTTTTCTGGGGGGGGAGGGAAAGTGAACTGCATAGAAAAAAAAGATAATTGCACCGATCTGCATAAGTGAGTTAATACGTATAAAACTCTTAGCATGGTGCGCAGTATGTAGTAACGCTACTTGTTAGCTGTTGCTGTGGCAAATTCTATGTCCATTCAAGACTGGAACTCACAGTCACTAAAGGGTGGGTATTAATGTCGCACTGGTATGAGAGGGTGGTAGCAACAATATTAGCATTGCCATGCAAGGGATGCACATTCTGTGCCGTAAGACAGAGTAGATTGGTGGTTACTAGAGGTTGGGAAAGGGAGGAGGAAGAAAGGATGAAGGGAGAGAAAGAATATGAACGTATTCATCACCACTCAACTGTACACTTAAAAATGGTAAGGATGGTAAATTTAAAAAATTAATAAAAAAATTATTTGGGATTATGTTGTATTTACAAACCAGTTTTGTACAAATCATATCGTTATATGAGTCATCCTCATTTTTTCTTTTTTAAAGTTGAGTTTATGGAGAAAACTTATGAGCAGAGACGTGGGAGAGCACATGCAGTCCTGTGAACTGTCATTGTCCCCAGCTCAGGCCAGCTGTGGCTGGACTGCAGGCCCCACAGCCAAAGCTCCAGGCAAAAAGAAAATGTCCCCGTTAAGCTCCACATTTTATGAGGCCACGGAGCAGCTACAGACACATGATTATGTAACAAGTGAAGTTCTTGACCAGGATAGAAGAGGCAGCCCTAAAAATTAAAGGCTGGTGGCACCAGCCGGTTCTGCCAATGATCTAACTCAGACCTGCTGAGCCAGCCCGTGGCTCTGCTGCTGAAAGGGAGGGGGAAGTGAGCCATCAGCCATGCAGATCTGCCTCTCCTCAGTTCGTCCCCTCGCTCGTGGGGGAATATTAACTACAAGTTCCTCCATAGGCTCCTGCTGACACCAGGATTAATGGTTTCCGAAGCATTCCATCACATCCGGGAGGGAGGTGCCAATAGGGCCCCCACACTTATGTTGGATGGAAGTGGACATGTCTAACATCATGAACAGTTTGGGCAGAACATATTCATAACCAGAAAAAGAAGAGTTCTTCATCTATCCCCTCTGGCCTTTAACCTCTTCCCCGGGGACAGACGTGGTCGCATCTTTCCAGCTGAGGTCTCTCTCCCCTCTGGGGCTGAGCCAGATGGTCTTTCCTTTCTCCAGGGCGATGACTTCCACAAGGATCCAGGTGCAGCATTTGTCATGGTAAGTGATGTTGGGGGCAGAAGAGGGGGCTAGAAAACAACCCAAAGCAAAGTCAGGATCCAAGTTCATGTCTATTCAGAAATCCTCAATCTGAGCACTATCAACATATGAGCATCATATGACATAACATGAATTTCCATCAATCCAGAGAACAGAGTGTGTACAAAAAGGAAAAAGGGAGAGAGAGAAAGAGAGAGAGAAGGAAATTGTTTTATTTATTTATTTATTTATTTATTTATTTATTTATTGAGACGGAGTCTTGCTCTGTTACCCAGGCTGGAGTGCAGTGCTGTGATCTCGGCTCACGGTAACCTCTGTCTCCCGGTAACCTCTGTCTCCCGGGTTCAAGCAATTCTCCTGCCTCAGCCACCCGAGTAGCTGGGACTATGGGGGCCCGCCACCATGCCTGGCTAATTTTTGTAGAAAGGGGGTTTCGCCATGTTGGCCAAGCTGGTCTCGAACTCCTGACCTCAAGTGATCCGCCCACCTTGGCCCCCCAAAGTGCTGGGATTATAGACGTGAGCCACCGCGCCCGACAAAATGATTCCTCTTTCAATATGTCCAGCTCAAAAGAAAGGAGAGTAGTAGACTGCTGCTTCTCACGTTCTCTTTGTTCCCCATCTCTGCCTCCTGGGTGCCAAGGAGCTCAGACAGACAGACAAACAGGCAGACAGGGCGAGGCTATGCAGAACTCATAAATAGCTGAAGCCAGTCTGACCAGCGGGCCCTGTATAAGTTGTCACTGGAGACACAAATTACCAAATTTGTCTCAAAGAGAAGCACAAAGGCTAGGCACAGTGGCTCACGCCTATAATCCCAGCACTTTGGGAGGCCGAGGCAGTCGGATCACCTGAGGTCAGGAGTTGGAGACCAGCCTGGCCAACATGGCGAAACCCTGTCTCTACTAAAAATACAAAAATCAGCCAGGTGTGGTGGCGCACCTACTACCAAGTAGTAACCCCAGCTACTTGGGAAGCTGAGGCAGGAGAATCGCTTGAACCTGGGAGGCAGAGGTTGCAGAGAGACTCTACCCTGGGCAACAGAGTGAGACTCTGTCTCAAAAAAAAAAAAGAAAAGCACAAAAATTTGTGTTAACCAACAAGAATGGAAGAAAGCAAACCAGGTTTAAAGAACTGCCTCCCCCGAAAAAGGCTTTTGAGTCAGATTGTTGTCACAGCACATTCCTTCAAATGTTCATGGAACAGATTATTCTCATATTATAAAAACTGTTCCAAAGTGTGGAAAAAGATGGAATACAATCCAATTTATTTTATCAATCTAGCACAGTACTAATAACAAAACATTAAAAAGGACGTAGCAAAAAAAGAATAAATTCATTTCAATAATAGGCTACAAAGATCCTAAATAAATTCTAATTATGTCCTAGCACTCTGAATTTGATGGCTCCTCAAAAGACGTTGACAGCTTTGGTGAGACACAGTGGGCTGCATGTGCTCCTACCATTTGCCACAGCGAGGATGCATGTGTTTCCTCTGGGCCCACTGACACCTGTGAGGGTGGCTGGGATCTTTCCCTAGTGGGCAGCCCACTGGGCAGGGAAACCCCAGCAGCAGGAGGACAGATCTGAGGCTATAGTAGAGTTGTCAAGAGAGTCGAAAAATCACTTGGCTCTTGTAAATAATGCTACAATAAACATGGGAGTGCAGATATCTATGATTTTATACTTATTTCAATTCCTTTGGATATATACCCAGAAGTGGGGTTGCTGGATCCCATGGTAGTTCTGGTTTTAGTTTTTTGAGGAACCTCCATACTCTTTTCCATAGTGGCTGTAGTAATTTACATTCCCACCAACAGTGGGCAAGGGTTCCCATTTCTCCACATCCTCCACAACACTTATCTTTTGTCTTTAGATAAAGAATCAACCTAAGTGTCCATCAGAGGACTGGATTTTTAAAATGTGGTATATATACACAATGGAATACTATTCAGCCATTAAAAAGAAGAACACTTTGTCATTTGCAACAACATGGATGAACCTTGAGGACATTATGTGAAGTAAAATAAGCCAGGCAAAGAAAGACAAATACTGCATGATGTCACTGATATGTGGAATGTGAAAAAGTTGAACTCATAGAAGTAGAGAGTATAATAGTTACTGGGGCTGGAGGAGCAGGGTGGGAATGGGGGGATGTAGGTCAAAGGGTACAAAGTTTCTATTAGACAGAAGAGGCTTTAGAGATGGATTGCACAGCAGGGTAACTGTAATTAATGATATGGTTTGGCTGTGTCCCCACCCAAATCTCATCTCGAATTGTAGCTCCCACAATTCCCACATGTTGTGGGAGGGACCTGGTGGGAGGTAACTGAATCATGGGGGCAGGTCTTTCCTGTGCTCTTCTCGTGACAGTGAATAAGTCTCATGAGATCTGATGGTTTTATAAAGGAGAGTTTCCCTGCACAAGCCCTCTTCTCTTGTCTACCACCATGTGAAACGTGCCTTTCACCTTCCGCTATAATTGTGAAGGCCTCCCCAGCCACGTGGAACTATGAGTCCCTTAAACCTCTTTCTTTTGTAAATTGCCCAGTCTCAAGTATGTCTTTATCAGCAGCATGAAAACAGACTAATACAGTTAATCATGTGTTGTAAATTTCAAAATTGCCTAAATGGTAGATTTTAAATGTTCTTACCACATTGATGTGATGGATATGTTCAGTAGTATGATTTAATTATTCCACAATGTATACAGGTACCAAAACATCACATTACAGTCCACAAATATGTACAATTATTATTAAAAATAATTTTTTTTACATAAAGGTCATGCAGAACTAGAACTTTATCTAGAATATTGGGGAACAGCACCTTGGGGAGCTCTGCAGCTCTCCTCAACTAACCCCTTTAGCCCCATGTGCCCCCACGAGATCCCCAGCCTTCACAGGCCTGGCACGCGTAGGCTCCGACATCACACAGCGGGCTCCGACATCCAGGGAGAAAAGAAGGTGACAGCATCGAGGGAACAAAGGAAAGTCCTGGCTCCTCCCTCCCTGCTGTGGCCCCAACATGCTAGAGGGTCTGCCTTCCAGGGAGGGGGTGGCCAGCGGGACTGTCTTCCAGGTCAGAGGTCCCAGCTCCAGCCTGTGCAGAGGAGGGCAAGGAGGTGTGGTTTAAATTGAGTTTGAGACTGAAGCATTGCACTGGGCTGAATCTGAATAACTCAGGGGACCTGGGGTACTACAGGACTGGGATGCGGTTGCAGGTTCGGTGACCTGGCGGAGAGCACTGCCCAATGAACTGGGTGTATTTACCCAATGTTCTCCAAGCATATATTATTTCTATAAATATGGCCAGGCATGGTGGCTCACACCTGTAATCCCAGCGCTTTGGGAAGCTGGGATGGGTGGCTCACCTGAGGTCTGGAGTTCGAGACCAGCCTGGCTAACATGGTGAAACCCTGTCTCTACTAAAACTACAAAAAAAAATTAGCCAGGCATGGTGGCAGGCGCCTGTAATCCCAGCTACTCGGAAGGCTGAGGTGGGAGAATTGCTTGAACCCTGGAGGTGGAAGTTGCAATGAGCGGAGATCGTGCCATTGCACTGCAGCCTGAGCGACAGAGCGAGACTCCATCTGAAAAAAATAAATAAAAATAAATAAATAAATAGGAAAAAAGATTGAATCTGAGACTGTGGGCTCTATGGAAAGGAAAAGTTTGCCATTTAAGGAATGTATGAAGAAGGCTGTGCTATTTGACCTAGGGAAGAGGAAAGGGAATTTATCACATATTTAAAAGGGTATCCTTTATAACCATCAACTCCACAAAAACATAAGCTCTAAATAATAATACTTGGGAGAAAGAATAGGCTTATTGTGTGATCTTGAAAATGCCAGGACAAGGGTCTGAGGGCCACTGATTTCTAACCTCAGGGAGGCAGATTTCTGTTCCGTATGAGGACAATTTTCCATCATCGCAGGATGAGACAGCATCAGCTGTCTGCCCATGTGCCACACTGGCTGCATTACCACATTCTGGGAAGGAGCCTTAGTGGCCCATACAGCTCCAATGTTCTAGAATTCCTTGCTTGCCAGGGCTAGCCTAGAGCATACTATTTAATGCTGAGTCCAGCCAAGAAGGGGTGGCCAGTAGCTGGTATCATCCATAAATAGTGTGAATCTAAGATTGTCTCACACTCAAATACATGAGGCTGTGTATGCAGCATGGCTCACTGTGGATATGCTGTCCTAAAAATCTTACTCGAGGTGGTAGGGGCAGGTGGAGGATGGGTAGAAGGCAGTGGAACCCAGGCTTGGGAGAGCAAACTTCCCCTTCTCCCCAGGGAGAGGCAGCGGAGCCAGCTAGTGTGCCCATGGCTGGAGCCAGTCCCAAGCCCAGTGGTACTGGGAACGCTGCCCTCTGAAGTCAGTTAAGGACATAGTGCCTCTTGGAGTAGCCCCTGGGCAGAGTTGGATGCCCAAGTATCCTTCCTTCATTAGCACTCAGGAAACAAGTGCCCTAGGCCAACACTCAACGCCTCAACAATCAGCTCTCAGCAAAGCCTGGCCATCTTCCAACAAAAAGACAAGGGACATGGTGGCAATGAGTATGACCTCACTCCCAAGCACCATCTCCCCAGGCTTCCAGCTTTCAAACTTCTCCAAGTAAGTCCTTCACCAGAGGCCACGTTTGCCCAGGTGACACTTGATTGCAAGGGTCACACACAGGGAGAGAGAATGCAACTTTCTCTGCCTCTATTCCTTACAATAAAGTGGTGAGATCATTTCAGGAAGCCAGGAAGTTAGGCTTCACATTTGCCGTGAAAGTGATGAGTTTGGTTAGCCTGATGTTGCCAGAACCTGCTATTCATTCTATGCATTTTCGGCAGCACAGACTTCACTAAAGTGATAAAAGTATTAGATATAGTATCAGAAGAAATTGAGTCACCAGATTCTCTGAGTTAGAGAGATTACCCCTTAAGGCAGCAGTTAGGATGATGTGCCGACTCCTTGACAGGCATGAGAAACCCCGCCCACCCCAGCTGCTGCCCCAGCCTCCCCATCATTCCTCCAGCCACCTGCAACTCCAGTCCTCCAATAAGCCTGTGTCTTTGCTTGGGCCCAGAGGCTCCTCTCCCTCCCTGTTCTTTGAATCATCCTTCTAGAATCCTCCAGTTTTCCCGAACTCCTCCCTGTCCACCCAAGTCACATCTTGCTGCTCGCTGTGTCCTCTCATGATGACCTGGATATGCCTCTTTCACAGCAAGCCAGACACCCCATCACCATTGCCCACCTGCCACTAGGCTGTGTGCACCTTGGGGGTGGGACTTCTGTCTTCTAAACTTTGAGTCTGCAGCACTGTGCCCAGCACAAGCAAGTGCTCAGCCAATGCTGGCTGAATAACTGAATAAAGGAACCACAGCATCCTAGAGGTGTTCCCTTTTTAAAATGCATGCAATGGACAGTACTGTGAAGCCAAAGTGACTGCATTTGGGCAGTGATTAAAACCTCAATCTCTCTCTCCTTTCTGTAATTCACTGAAGCCCCATACATCAATCAAGGTGGACATGATCATTGTGCACTTTGGTTAATTGTAAAACCGATCAGTTCCAATCAATACCTGGCATTTTACATAAAGTCCACTGGTTTTAAAAGTGTGTGTGAGGTGGTTTCCTGATGGGCAAAGAACTTCAAGGAAATGTTTATTGTGCTCACGGATGACATTCTAGCTATTGTCCGTGTTCCTTTTCACGGAGCTGTAAAGATGCCTTTTTACGGTCAGGCCAGCTGACATCTTCCTCATCCACTCCTCTAATGCACACATTCACTGTAGGATCTTTGTATCAATGAGGAATATTCAGCCACGTTCCACAAAGGTTTTTTGAGTGCTTGCTCTGAGCAGGGAACTGAGTAATGTGATTTGTCTCCAAAGCTTTCAAATCTGCTAAAAATATTCTCCATTTCCCAAGCAGTTGGGACAAACAAAAATTTTGCTCGAGTCTCTCTTCTGGGGCCCACTGAGTAAAAACGCACCTAGAGTTGCCCAGGGAAATAAAACCTCCCTTCATGGACCTTCCAGATCTCCTGAAAGGTTTTGTCTCCAGCTGGCTGGAGAGAGCTTGCTCATTAAATTCAGCACACAATCTCTGTCTCTAAGCAGCTGAGCTTCAGGGCACGCTGCAATCCATCAACCCTAGGAACTTGCCCAAGACCAGTCCCAGAGATGAGACGAAGCGTACATGACCACGGCTCCTCATCCTTCCCTATTCAAAATCCTAAGGAGCCTCCAACGTAGAGGGAACAACATCTGGTTTCTTCATCTCCAAGTGGGGATAACATTGCCTTACCTCCCAGAAACGTTATGAAAGTTAAAGGTAATCTATTTCAGTTGTCTAGCATAGTGCAAAGTATCTAGTAGATGTCCCAAAACAGGCTCATATATTTGCTTTTTTTTTGAAACAGAGTCTCGCTCTGTCTTCTAGGCTGGAATGCAGTGGCGCAATCTCGGCTCACTGCAAACTCCACCTCCTGGGTTCACGCCATTCTCCTGCCTCAGCCTCCGGAGTAGCTGGGACTACAGGTGACCACCACCACACCCGGCTAATTTTGTTTTTGTATTTTTAGTAGAGGCGGGGTTTCACCATGTTAGCCAGGATGGTCTCGATCTTCTGACCAGTGATCTGCCTGCCTCAGCCTCCCAAAGTGCTGGGATTATAGGCATGAGCCACCGCGCCTGGCCATCTATTTGCATTTTTTCTAGCCAAATAGGACACCCTGGCTACTCTGTGGATGTGGCAGAAGAGATAGAGAAGAGGGAACAGGGAGGCAAGGAGCACGTTAGAAGGAGACACCACTGGCCTCAGTGACAGGCCAGGCATGGTGGGGAGGGAAAACTAAGAGTCAATGATGGTGCCAAGGCTTCTAGCCCAGTGACCATGTGGTGATGACATCATGGACTATGGCCTGGGGAGAGGCAGATTTGCTTTGAGAGCTCTTTGCTGTGGTTTTTATCCTATTCCACCCCTTCTTCACTCACCAAACTCTGCTCCTCATACAGCACCAGTGCTTCCCCCTCCAGGCAGCCTTCCTTGGGATCAGAGGGAGAAGCAATCCCTCTCTCCTTTCATGTTTTGTTTGTCACATCATTCCATAATCATGGACTCCCTTCCCTCTCCATTAGGTAGGAGTGATTCCCCCAGGTGCCTGGGACAAACAGACAGAAGACAAATGGGGCTGAAAAATCATGAATGAACAAATCCCACCCATCAACACCCCAGCAGGAAACAGAATCCAATACAGGAGGTTCAAATGCAGAGAGTTTCAGAGGTGTGGGCAGGATAGAAGGATCAGAGGCACGCCCAGAGACACACACCTGAGTCCATGAACTTGCTAGTGTGCCGATGGTCCTGGCTGCCAAGGGATGGCTTGGACATACTACGCACACAAGGTGGAAGGGGCCACCACTAGCAAACGTTGAGTAGAGCACTGTAGAGATTAGAGGAGGGGGGTGAGTGTGAGAGGCTCAGAGGTGGAATGAACGCACCTAAATGCATCACTCGAATGTGGGAGGGGGGACGGCTATGATGGCACCAACGACCAAGGCAGCAAGCACAGAGGAGGATGGGATGGCATCCAGAGCGAGAGCGGAGTGAGGCGCCTGCATTTCCTCCAGGCAACGCATTCGGGAGGCAGATGGCTTCTATGCCAGAGGCCCGGGCTAGGAGACAATCCTGGAGGCAGCAGGGGATGGGTGGCAGGGGATCTTCCAGGGAAAGCCCAGACAGGCATGAGCAATGAAAAATGAGGAGAATCCCTGAGCACACCTTTAAAAGAAGGCAAGGCGTGCCACAGGGCGTTGAGCAGAACAACTGGAGAGAGGGAGCACGAAAAAGTCAAAGGAGGAAGTGGTCAGTAGCATGAAATGTTCCTGAAAGAACAAGTGGCGTGAGGAGGATGGGGCAGAAGGGACATCCCATGCAGGCCTCAGGAGGCTATTGGCTCCATTGCAGGATATATATAGGCAGGCACCCGACTCTGGTGAGTGACAGTGAGACTGGCCGTAACTGCAGTGCTGGGATAGGCAGGATCGGGAACCAAGATGTGCATCCGTGAGGGATGTGTTAGTAAATTCTACTGTGGAGGAATCTGTAAATCAATGGAACAATGTGTAGACAGACATTAACTATAATGAAGTAGGTCTATATATACCATACAGAAAGAACTCATTACATGAAAAGACAAATTGCAGGACAAATGGATATAATATATGGATATGATCCAAATATGCCTAATGTAGAGAGATAGATACAAGAGGTGTACCAAAATTCATTGAGCCACATGCTGAATAGCCAATAGTTAAAAAAAAAAATATATATATATATATATTTTTTATATAAAAATAAATATATATATATAACTGCAAAAAAGATCCAAACCAAATATTGGCATGGAGAAGGAAATTTTGGGATCCAAAAATAAATCTCAAAGCCACTAAAAATTAATTATAGTTACTTTTTTGTTATTAAAAATTTAATAGGCCAGGCGTGGTAGCTCACGCCTATATTCCCAGCACTTTGGGAGGCTGAGGCAGATGGATCACGAGGTCAGGAGATCGAGACCATCCTGGCTAACACGGTGAAACTCCGTCTCTACTAAAAATACAAAAAAATCAGCCAGGCGTGGTGGCAGGAGCCTGTAGTCCCAGCTACTCGGGAGGCTGAGGCAGGAGAATGGCGTGAACCCGGGAGGTGGAGTTTGCAGTGAGCCGAGATGGTGCCACTGCACTCCAACCTGGGCGACAGAGCGAGACTCCGTCTCAAAAAAATAAATAAATAAATAATAACTAAATTGTAAAAGTCTGACATTATACATTATGGGGAAAGAATTATTAATATACACACACTAAAGCTAGTAGGAAGGCAGTTTCATTTTTGTCTAATTTCACCAGGATGGGGTGCTGCTAATGGTGAAATCGACACGGAGTGATTTAGTCCCTTTTTGTCTTTAATAGTAACTGTCTGCAGAAAAGATACATCTCCTCTGTGGCTGTGGTAGGTTGCATTACAGTGCCTTCTTCCCATCCTCTCCCTTTGCCTTATGACTCGGCAGGACCCCCTCTAGATTGCCCTCTCCCTCAGCCCCATTGATTGAGCTGGACCATGTAAGCTTCATCAGCCAATGGCCTGTTAGCAGACATAACATGATCAGAAATTTAAATGTATTTGAGTGATTTGGCTTGGCCTAGAGGCGTCTGCCACTTGCCATGAAAAGAACTTGTCCCACATACCCACTGGTCCCAGAACGATGGAGACATATAGAGCATACCTGAACTCGACCTGAAGGCTGGGGTTCACAGCGCCCGGCAAAGTCAGGGTGAGCCTGGCTAAAATCAGCTGAACCAAAGCTGTCTTGCAGACCTGTGAACAAAAACAGGAAGTGAGGGTTGTGGTAAACCACTAAGACGCTGGTATTGTTCACTTTACATCATTATTGTAGCAATTGTTGACTAATAACATGGCAATATACAAAACACTTCCAGGAAGATTAGAATTATGATATAAATTATTTTCTACCGTTTTGCCTTTTATTATTTAAACTTTTACAAACATTTGTGTTGCAAAAATAATACGTTCTTTGTAAAGTTACCCTAGACTGTCTTAATATTTGAATTGACTGTTGATCTGTTTTCCTGCTTATTTAACTATTTGAACATTCTTTTTTTATTATTTTTATTTATTTTATTTTTTTTTGAGACGGAGTCTTGCTCTGTCGCCCAGGCTGGAGTGCAGTGGTGTGATCTCGGCTCACTGAAAGCTCCACCTCCCAGATTCACACCATTCTCCTGCCTCAGCCTCCCAAGTAGCTGGGACTACAGGTGCCTGCCACCACGCCTGGCTAATTTTTTGTAGTTTTAGTAGAGACAGGGTTTCACCATGTTAGCCAGGATGGTCTTGATCTCCTGACCTTGTGATCCACCCGCCTCAGCCTCTCAAAGTGCTGGGGTTACAGGCGTGAGCCACCGTGCCCGGCCTGAACATTCTAGTTTTGTACATAAGATGAGTAGCATCCACAATCGTTAGTTGTTGCAACAATTTGTCTCACAACAAATAAATACACATTTATGCTTCAGTTGATTAACAATTCAATGTGTGAAACACATAAGAGATCTTTACTCCAAATGACATATAAATACCTCCTACACTTAAAGTAACTATTTTTGCATCAGCCCCAAATCTCAATGACATGTCATGTTCATAATGTGGACATTATCATCCTGATTAGATATGCGGATGATTTCCACAAACACACAATCATTGATCAAGGGCAAGCTCAAGAATGCCAGAACTTACATCAACGTAGGCATAAAACTAAGGCCAGGGCAGATTCTAATCCCACTTCTTGGCTTCAAAACCTTCAGCAGCTCCCCACTAAGAAATACAGGTCAAACTTGCAAACAATTCACTCACTGGCCTCAGTCTCTTCCCTTCATAGCTCTTTAGGTCTCAGACACAAGGAAATCACCCTATCTTATTAGGGTGTACCTCGTGTCTCAGTAACTTTGTACTGCTGTTCCCTAAAGCCTAGGAGGCCCTTCCCTTCGCCCATTCCTTTGAGCCCCAATTCTTTCCAAATGCTCAAGTAGTAAGGGAAGTGCTCCTGGGGAACTCACAGGACGACCTTTACTTCTCTATTGTTATCTTCATCTCACTACATGGCAACTGTTTGCTAACACATCAATCTCCCCCTCTGAGTTGTGAAGGGCCTGGACTTTGGGGCCAGGACTGTATCATCTTTACAGGCCCAAGACCTAGCACAGTGCCTAGTGGTAGATACATGTTAAGTGGAAAGGTAATGGGGTGGATGCATAGACAATCAAGTGGATGGATCTTTTCTCATAGACACCTCCAATATTTTTAGAATAAGTACAAATAAAGAAAATATAGCAAGATGACAATGATAATAGTAAACCAGCAATTGGACAAGCATCCTCTGTGCAATGAGGGATGGTGGGGAGGCAATTCCCAACCTCCCCCATCTTTTTGGCATGAAATCACAGTTTTTTCAGATTCCCTGCAACTGGCAGAGGTCACCTATAGGAGTCTGCTTGCCAAGATTTATCCCTGGTAGCACAGGGGATGCCAATTCATGTATGCAGCCCACTCATCAGTCCTCCCTGCCTCTAGGAGTGTTCCTGACATCCCTGCTGGCCCTGCCTGTCTCCTGACTCTCCTCTTTCTCAGAAGGTCACCTATGCTGGCCTGAGCTCGTCATGACAACAGTCTTAGGTGCCATCATTCACCTTTGGAGGTAAATCATGCTGCCTACTTGGGCAGGCCCAGGTCTAGCTTAAGAGATGCGGAGTTCCACCACCCTTGTCCAGTAGATTTTTTTGAGGCTTTTCGGACATCTAAGTCCTTTTGTCAAATGGAAACCTATTGTGCAAAACAGATACAAGATGTGGCTGTGGTTGAAGCTGAGTTGAGTCGCACAAATCCTCCGGCTCCAAGGCCACCCAACCCTGAGACATCTCCGCCAGGCTGCATGGCTCTATGGCACATGGTCTACAATCCACTGCCCTCATCTCTAGCACTGGGCTTGCACCTTGACATGCCCCCCACCGCTCATCCTCTGCAAATGTGCAGGTACCCTTCCTGCTGTTCCAGACCCCCTATAAAACCAGTGTCCTACACTGAACGCCAGTAACTGAACTGAGTCCCTGAGGCCCCACATGCTTCTAGCAGACCTCTCTCTCTTCATGACACAAGGCTTCTATTGTGAACAGAGAGATCTCCCAGAAATACAAGGCAGTTCGAAGCCACCTGCTGCCAAGTCCTTCCCCACCTGATTGCAAGATTCTTCCTATTTTACTTTTACTGCTTTGACTCACTCAAAACCTGACATTCCTTGAGAGAATACCCCCTCTCGATCTCATTCCTTGTCATCTGGATGGGGCTGACTCCATCTCTCCCCATCTCAACAGGTAGACATCCAACCGGGGCCAGATCTACCACAGCATTCATCCCTGTGGACACTGTGATTGGGTCACCGATGGACAAATGGTCCAACCCACGCAAATGAGATTCAATCCTGGTATCTTTGCCAGACCTTTCTTTCAACTAATGTTACTAAACTACATAAAACAAGCCACCACTGCTGGTAGCTACCGGACCGTCGTGTGGGGAAAGCCTGTCCAAACACAGGGCCACACAGAGAAGAGAGGAAAGAGATAGAGATATGTTCTGGTGCATTTGATCATCCGTATCCAATCATGCCTGATGCTGGCCCACCCACGGCCTCTCAGTAATATGAGACAACATTACTTTGCTTGAACCAGTTTGAGGTGGGGTCGAATACAGTCCTCTAGCAGCTGAACTGTCCCTGACCCTGCTTTGCCCCTTAGAATATATGTTGGACAACTGCCCATTCTTGCCCAGGCAGCTTGGTGTCCCCAGCATCCTTCCTGCTGTCCCAGATCCCCTCTAAAACCAGTGTCCTACACTGCACCCCCAATAACTTAGCTAAGTCCTACAGGCCCCATATATTTCCTGCGGTCCACTCTTTTCAAGACACTAGGGCCCTATTGTGAATGGAAGAATCACCCAGAACTACAATGCAACGCGAAGCCACCTGGACCTAGGCCTGTTGCAACATCCAGCATTTCCTCTGCCCTTTAATCCTCCGTGGGCTATTGTCACAGGTAGCCGAGGCCTTCCTCTGTCCAGGTTTCTCTTGCAATCAACAATGCCACCTCTTCTAGCTCTTACTTCAGTATAATTTGCCTTTGATGACTTAAAGAAAAATGAAACAATCCATTAAATAGCAAATACCAGTCTCCTTTCAATGCGTTTCTTTTCAGTGCCTAATGCACGGGCCCGCCTGTAAGCTACACCTATCACTACAGAGTAAAATCATCAGAGTCTGAGCTGATGGGAGCATTTAAACTGATCAGAAAAGCAATTGATTGTTGACATGCTGCTGGCTCCTTGGTTTAGGATATCAACAGTTCATCAATGCCTCTTTCTGTGTGTTTGACAACTTGACTCCTTTTCTGCTCCAGACAGAACAAGTAGAGTTCCAGCCATGGGAAGGAAAGAGTTTGACTATTTGGCACATGGAGCAGATTTTCACATAAAATACACTTTTCCCTCCGAATATATTTGTTTCCTTCAAATAATCTGGGTCCCAATGGCCCAATAGGTAGTCACCATGATCTCCTAACTTAGGTATCCATTCACCTCACAAATACCCACTCTAATATCAAAGACAGAGTTTAAACTTCCTTCCCTCTACCAAAAAAACTGTGTCCCTGCTTGCAAGATGCTCAAAGCAAGATTTTCACACAAATCCAAGGGTTGACTCTCAAAGTGAAACAGAGTTTCTCACCTGGTTTCAAAGGATTTAGCTCTCAATGTCATCAGGGCACTGGATGGGAGAAATTTTACATGCAAACTCTGTTGACTAGATTAGGCCTGGTATCCACTTACCTGTAATCTCCACAGGCAATCTCATTCACGTTGGAATTCATTTCTACCCTAATGCTATTTCCCAGGTCTGGATATATGTCTGATGTGACAATGTCTTTGAGCCCAAACCTGGAGCTAGGAGCTCCCTTCCTTTAGGATATTACCAGGTAGCCTGCAGACACCTCAATCTAAATGTGTCCAAAACTGAACTCAGTATCTTCCCAGAAAATCTGATTATCCAACTATATCTCCTCTCTCGGTCTATTTTTTTTATTTTTTTATTTTTGTTTTTTGAGATGGAGTTTCACTCTTGTTGCCCAGGCTGGAGTGCAAGGGCGCAGTCTCAGCTCACTGCAAACTCCACCACCCAGGTTCAAGAGATTCTCCTGCCTCAGCCTCCCGAGTAGCTGAGATTACAGGTGCCCGCTGGCACACTCAGCTAACTTTTTGTATTTTTAGTAGAGACAGGGTTTCACCATGTTGGCCAGGCTGGTCTTGAACTCTGGACCTCAGGTGATCCGCCCACCTCGGCCTCCCAAAACGCTGGGATTACAGGCGTGAGCCACCGAGCCCGGCCCTCTCAGTCTATTGGATCACCCATGTGCTCATGCCTCATTCATGAAAATTATTCCCATCTCTTCCTAGAGCTGACTGCCCCCAAGGCCTGTTGACACTACATGCTTGGCTTCTCCTTGCCTGCTTTTCATCTTCATCAGTGCAGCAGCTTTGGCAGGGCTGAAATGACAGCCTACTAGCTGATATCCCATTTCCCTCCAATCCACTTTGCCACTATACCCAGCATGACCTTCTCTAAGACTCAAATCCAACCCTGAGCTGCTTCAGAATCCTGTGCTGCTGCCAGATAGATCTGCCTGCAGTTACCAAGACATTCCTGCTGCTTCCTGGCGCTCCTTCAGGCTGTCTGCTCCCCAGAAGGGCCACCCTCCCTGACACCTTTCCCTTCCCTCAGTGTTGACCATTGCATCATTGTATCTTCTATGTCGCCTGTAACTTGACCATTCCTCTAATATTGCACTCTGCATATGCCTGACAGTTTCTCAGCTCTGGTTCAGGCACTTAAAAACGTGCACGCCATGTTTTCTCCCCAGCTGAATCCCCAGCATCTAATCAGCATTCAGAAAATCTCTGCAGACTAAAGATCAGGAGAGTTTCTGTCTCATCAATAATGTTTCCCTTATTCCTGGGATGACCCCCAAATTGACCTCAGAATGCAGCTGGTCTTGGTGCATAGACCCCTGGGAACAAGAACCCATACGGCGGTTCAGATTCCTGGGCTAAAGGAAGATGCCTCAAAAGTTTGCAGCAGGGAATTTGCCCTTTAAGGGGGAAGAAAAGATGATGCAAGCTCCCTCCCTACCCACAACAACTGAGAGTGCCCCCAGAAAACTCTCTCTGCCCCCCTATGCATTTTCACTCGTTGCCTAGGAGTCCGGCTTGGTATTTATGAGTGTAAGGACTGCTGCTATCACAGGCCATTTAACCTTCAAAGACAGCATACTGCTTTTGAGAAGAGTGGCCTTTTTCCTTCTATTTCATTAGCCAGGAGCATTTTATGGTTTAATGCTTGCTGTTCTTCTCAGATGCAGAAATGTTAGTGGCTCCTTACTGTGAAGGCCTTTCTCATTCCCTGAGGGTCATCTCACCTGGAAGTAATCTACAGGACACTGAGTTCAAGATCCTCAGCTTGACCTCTGGTAAAACCAGCAGGAGGTGGCCCTCCAGCCCCAGAGGCCCCAGCTCCTTCACAATAAATTCCAAACTACCATGTGATATTTTATCCTAAGGTATCATAACACACATATCTTGTGTTATGGTATTTATATTTTCAAATGAGTGCATTCATCACAAACATCACTGCACAGCCATCAGTCTCAACTCACAGCCCTGGAATCCCATGGCCAGCAGCAGGTCCAGAGTCAGGTGGTCAGACAAAGCTGCAGGGAGACCAAGGCAGGAATAGAACCATCCACTCCATCAACCAGTCCTTACTGCTTTGTGCCAACTCCTACTGTGTGCCAGGCACTGCAGGTTCAGTGGCAGACAAGACAGAATAGTCCCTGCCCAAAGAGTGCTCATCTATACACAGCGCAAGAAAGTCTGTGAAGTGCGTTGAAGCCAAGAGGAGCCTGGTTTTCATGCAAGGGGCAAGCAGAAGTCATCGAGGGCTTTTGGCTAGAAATTGAGTTATTGGCCAGGAGTGGTGGTTCACGCCTGTAATCCCAGCATTTTGGGAGGCCGAGGTGGGTGGATCACAACGTCAGGAGTTCGAGACCAGCCTGACCAACATGGTAAAACCCCGTCTCTACTAAAAATACAAAAATTAGCCAGGTGTAATGGCACGTGCCTGTGATCCCAGCTACTCAGGAGGCTGAGGCACGAGAATCGCTTGGAGGCAGGAGAATCGCTTGAACCCAGGAGGTGGAGGTTGCAGTGAGCCAAGATCACGCCACTACACTCCAGCCTGGGCGACAGAGAAAGACGCCATCTAAAAAAAAGAAAAAAGAAAAAAAAAGAAATTGAGTTCTCTGGTTTGCATTTTGAATGGGCCATCTGGCAGTTAAGAATGGATTGTTGGAGAGTGACAGGAGATGCAGCAGATTAATCAAGGGCTACTGCAGTGTGTAGACCCAGCACCAAGGGAGAGCACTAAGAGATGGACGTCAGGTGCCTGGAGTCACCAGTGCATACAACGTGAGGGATGTGAGGAAGAAAAGCATGCAAGGTGCCCCCTTGGTTTTTCACTTGAGGACCTAGTGGAACAGCGAACATTTAGAAGATGAAAAGGGCTGAGTACAGGGAGGAAGTGTTTTGGGGGAGGAGACAATTAGAGTTTCCTCCTTTGAGGCCTCAGACAAATCATGGAGCCTGTTTAAGTTTTGTGCTGGACGTTTTAAGTTCGAGACATTGTATGGCAACATCGTTGAAGTTGTTGAACATGCAAGTCTGAAACTCAGAGGGGTGAGAAGGGGGAGTCTGAGCTGGAACCAGAAAGAACCTCGGAGCCTTCAGAGTGGAAATATGGGGCTATCTTATACCCCAGGAGGGAATACGAACAATGGGATAGCCCCAGAGAGTTTCCATGAGACAGGCTTGTTTCAGGGTAAAAGTAAACAAGAGTTTTGAAGGGAAGAAATCGCCCTCTGCAATAAAGTCCAGATTTTCTGTGCATTAGGAGGTGAGCAAACCATCCATCAGTAGAACCTACTCCCCGCCCCCCAACTCCAGTCCTGGTGACACTCCTTTGAGGCCTCAGACAAGTCATGGAACCTATGAAAGGCTCCAGGTCTTCGTCTGTGAAATGGGCGTCGGACTCGATGGTGTGACCATGACCCTTAGCACATCACCTGTGAGCCCAAGTCATTCCTCTGCTCACACCTGTATGCTCGTGCAGTGCTAGGTGTGAGGGATGCTCAGGACTATCGAGAAGGTCCCCACATCCGGACATTCTTTTTTTCTTTTTTCTTTTTTTTGAGACAGGGTCTCACTCTGTCACCCACGCTGGAGTGCAGTGGTGTGATCATGGCTTACTGCAGGCTTGACCTCCCAGGCTCAAGCAATCCTCCCACCTCAGTGGGAGTCCCAAGTAGCCGGGACTACACGTGCATACCATCACACTTGGCTAACTTTTAAATTTTTTTAGAGACAGGATCTCACTATATTGTCCAGGCTAATCTCAAATTCCTGGGCTCAAGCAATCCTCCCCGCTTGCTGGCATTATAAAAGTAAGCCACTGCGCCTTACTTATGGCTTACCCGGCCATAAGTAAGCATCACATGGTGGATGTCTCAGGAAGTGCACCTTCTCAGTGTGCTATCTACTTCTCAATCCCTGCCTAGGAAAGCTGTAGGCCTCAGTGGTTCTGGTGACGGGCAACCTCTTCTCTTTCTAGGAGGAAAGAAAAGCATCTGTGATGGTGGCAATTGAGAGCCACTCATCACTGTCACATATACTACAATCTGTGTTGTAGGCAAGGCCACCATGGAGATTACAAGGACACCGAGCCTAAGAAAACTATCTGCTAGGGCCCGAGTTTGTAGCTCAGAGCCTGGCCATAAGATTCAAACTGCTTACCAGTCACTCAACCCAAGAGTCTAGTTCCCACCATGAAGGGTGGGAGTGGGCGCCAGGGGAGAAGAAGGGGTAGGAAGAGAGGGAGAGAAGAAAAGGAGAGGATGCTGATGCTGAAAGTAATTGTAAATAACCATTAGTATTAAAATACTCACATACACACACACACACACATACACCATAGTTGGGAACTAAAATCCAACTTGAGAAGTATCATAGTGGTGAAGAGGAAGCAGGGATGTACACGTGTGCTAAAATTTGGCCATTAGGAAAAATGAAGTGCTGACAAATGCTACAACAGAGATTAACCTTGGACATTATGCTAGGTGATATAAGCCAGTCATGAAGGGTTACATATTGCATAATTCCATTTGTATGAAATATATAAAATGTCTAGACATGCAAATCCATAGAAACAGAAAGTGAACTCATGCTTGCCTAGGGCTATTCAGAAAGAGAAATTGGGGGATAAAGGCTAAAGGGGTTGTGAAAATGTTTTATTTTATCTTATTTTTGTTTTTATTTATTTATTTATTTGCTTATTTTTGAGACGGAGTTTCACTGTTGTTGCCCAGGCTGGAGTGCAATAGCGCGATCTCAGCCCACCGCAACCTCTGCCTCCCGGTTCAAGCGATTCTCCTGCCTCAGCCTCCTGAGTAGATGGGATTACAGGCATGCGCCATCACACCCAGCTAATTTTGTATTTTCAGTAGAGACAGGGTTTCTCCATGTTGGTCAGGCTGGTCTCAAACTCCTGATCTCACGTGATCTGCCCGCCTCAGCCTCCCGAATTGCTGGGATTACAGGTGTAAGCCACCACACCCAGCCTATTTTATTTTATTTTATTTTTGAGACAGGGTCTTGCTCTGTTACCCAGGCTGGCGCAGTCTTGGCTCACTGCAGTCTTGACCTCCAGGTTCAAGCAATTGTCCCACCTTAGCCTCCTGAGTAGCCGGAACTATAGGCATGTGCCACCATGCCCAGCTAATTTTTTTACTTTTTATAGAGACGGGATCTTGCCATGTTGCCCAGGATGGTCTCGAACTCCTGGCCTCAAGTGATCTTCCCTCCTTGACCTCCCAAAGTTCTGGGATGACAGGTGTGACCTACCATGCCTGGCTGGAAGAGGGTTTAAAATTGATTATAGTGAAAGTCACACAACTCTGGGGATATACAAAAAAATCACTGAGTTGTACACTTTCAATGGGTAAAGTGTATGGTATGTGAATTATATCTCTCTAAAGCTGATTTTATATATATTTAAAATAATATATTTTTATGTAAATAATGTATATTTTATATAAAAATTAACATATATATAAGTGCACTGAAATACTTGCTCTTTTTGTGTGTGTTGAGGGTGCTTATAGATATTGCCTAATTCTAAATGATGATAGATGAAACGCTGACTGTTGATTCAATTATTGAAGTAAGAACCACTCCTCTGTCACAAGAGAACAGAGACTAATCATAAAATGTTGCCTTGAAAACCACTTGCCAAACTCATTTCATTCCTAGATTTGTTTGGGGGTTGGAAGAAATGTCATAGTTGGTTGTTTGAGAAATGCGATAAAATAAAATACATGTTTTATAATAAATGTCACTTCTGTCAATTCTGGCAGTTGCAATATGTGCAAAAACAGAACTCTTCCCACCGGGTGTGAAAGTGGGAGCTATGTTTGGAGGAGCCGTGGAGCAGAGCCAGCAGGATGGAGCATGCCATGAGGGAGAAGATGCTGGAAGCCATGGGTCAGGGGCACTGGGTATGGGATCAAGAAGACAAATGACTGGCTACTGCTAACTCTTGTGGCCCACAATAAAGCAGGCTTGATGGATATTAAAGCTGAGCCCTGCTTGTGCTTTCTGTTATTATTAATTTTTATTATTTTATTTTATTTTATTTTGAGACAGAGTCTCTGTTGCCCAGGCTGGAGTGCAGTGGAGCCTTCTCGGTTCACTGCAACCTCTGCCTCCTGAGTTCAAGTGATTCTCGTGCCTCAGCCTCCCAAGTCACTTGGATTACAGGCGCCCACCACCACGCCTGGCTAATTTTTTGTATTTTTTAATAGAGGCAGGGTTTTGCCAAGTTGGTCAGGCTGGTCTTGAACTCCTGACCTCAGGTGATCCACCTGCCTCAGCCTCCCAAAGTGCTGGGATTACAGGCTTGAGCCACCGCACCCAGCCTGTTATCTTAACATTTGGTCCTATCCTCGTCCAGTGGCTCTCAAACATGTGTATGCATCAGAATCACTCGGAGGGCTTGGAAGAACAAAGCTCACTGGGCCCCTCCTCCACATGTCCAGGGTGGGGCATGAGAATTTACATTTCAAGCAAGGTCGCGATGATACTGGTGCTGATGCCGACACTGAAGCTGATGCCAATGCTGGCGTGGCCAATCTGTGGACCACAGTTTAAGTGGCAACCGGAAGAGACCCTGCCAAATGCATTCCGGGGCCGGATGCTATCACACTAAGGCTTTTTTCAACAGGGGTTTCTTCAGACCACTCTTGAGATGTCTTCCAGGGGCAGAAAGGGTTAAGGAAGAAAGGGATGTTCTGCTCCTGAAAGACCTGCTGGGGCCCTCATACAGTTTAGACTGGATTCCAGGCTTCTTGCTTATTGATTGCAATCAGTTGTTACCCCGTAACAAATTGTGTTAAATTATTGAAATAGTAATAGGCGCAGCTGGGTAAATAATGCCCAGGACGGTGCAAGTCTATATTCATCAAGAGATTGTCCACACTACACGTCTCCCACTGGGCCTGGCTCAAAACGATTTGTTCCCACCAACTTGATATTTCTCAGTGCTTGACCATCTGCAGACTCCCCAGCTGAAGAGAATGAAATCGCTCACGTATTTTGTACAGGTCTCTGAACATAGTCTTCAAGGTTTGCCTGCACACATCCACGAAGTGGCCACACGGACGTGAATCCCAAGTGCCTTTAATCTGCTTAACAGCATGTATGCTAAAAGTATTTAATATCTCCTGATGGTAACGAAACTCATGATTAGAAACAAGTTACTCTCAATTACATGCTGCATTAGAGGCAATTTAATGAATTTGAACTCAAAAAGCCTTTGTTTTCAAAATGCAAATTTGTTTTTTTTTCCATTGAGATTTGAGATTGCTTTTTTTGCCCCAGTGAAATGAGCTTTATGAAATACAATGTTTTCTTAAGGAAGCTTTCGCTGTAATGAGACATGGCAGAGACAGCCGTGGTGGGGCCGATGAGGATTAAGATAGGCTCTTTGGAAAGCACCATGAGACAGAACATGCAAATCGCCATGGAAACCCAGTCATGTAGTTATTGTATAATAGGTTTGCTAATTAGCCTAAAAAGGTAGAAAGTCCACAGCCTAAGGGGAGATCAGGGTGGGTGGGTATTAATGAGTAATACAGCAAGAAAATGGATGAATGGAGCAGCCGGGAATGTCCGTCTCTCCTTGACCTGCCAGGCAGCGATGACATGCAGGGCTTGGCAGTGACATGCAGTAGAGTGTCTTGCCGTCCTGTTGGAGGCAGGGACACGAGGGTAAGTCATGGGCTAATGCCCAGTCTCCCCAGCCTCGGAGGCCTGCTGCTGCCTCTCTGACGTTTCCAGGACTCACGGAGCCTCCCAGATTCTTGGGAGAGCCAACCAGTTAGAGCAGGCTGTGCTGCTGCTGTTGCATCCGGAAAGTGAGCCTGGCCCTGCAATCTACAAGGCTCCGGGTACGAGTCTGGACCAAAACCTGAAGGCAGGAGGGGAGGCAAATCCATCCTGGCGCTTGCACTAGCCAGGCTCTACTCTAGGAAATTTCTCCCACTGCAGCTCATTGAATGTGCTCCTAAAGCCTAGTCAGGACAAAATATTTGTTGGACACCAATTATGTGCCCAACGCTGAGCCCTTTTCTCTTAATATTAATGATCTGGAGTGCAATGTTGGCTGGAGTGCAACCTCCGCCTCCCGGGTTCAAGCGATTCTCCATACCTCAGCCTCCCAAGTATCTGAGATTACAGTCACCCGCCATCATGCCCGGCTAATTTTTGTACTTTTGTAGAGATGGAGTGTCGCCATATTGGCCAGGCTGGTCTTGAACTTCTGATCTCAGGTGATTCTTCTGCCTCAGCCTCCCAAAATGCTGGAATTACAGGCACGAGCCACTGCGCCCTGCCCGAGAGTTGTATTTAAAAATTTAGCAATAAGACTTTACCTCTGTCAATTATGTTGAAGATCACATCTTTTCAAAAACATGTATGATATGAGTCTTTTTTATTTATTTATTTATTTATGTTTTGAGACAGAGTCTTCCTCTGTCGCCCAGGCTGGAGTGCAGTGGCATGATCTCGGCTCACTGCAACCTCCACCTTCCAGGTTCAGGCAATTCTCCTGCTTCAGCCTCCCGAGTAGCTAAGATTACAGGTGCCTGCCACCATGCCCAGCTAATTTTTGTATCTTTAGTAGAGACAAGGTTTCACCATGTTGGCCATGGTTGGCTAGACTGGCCTTGAATCCTGACCTCAGGTGATCTGCCCACCGCGGCTTCCCAAAGTTCTGGGATTACAGGCATGAGCCATCACACCCGGCCTGATATGAGTCTTATGGATACAGAAATACAAGGCTCAAAGCTGGGACATGACCTTTCTCCTAGAGGTTGGTATGATCTAGCCACCCAGCAAACAGAGGCAATTGGGCCTGTGTTGAAACTCAGATCTATGAGGCTGTGAGAAAATGCTCAACTCCCAAACTATCGTGCAAAATCTAGCAAATAAAAATCTACCCATTCTACCTGGAAGCCAACCTGAGAGAGCCATACATTGAGCTGCTCGCTCATAAATGTTACCCAAGGCTACCACATACCATTAGCCACCTCCCAGCTCATTTCTGACCTGTTTCCTCCTACATCAGATCCTATCTGTCTCTTGGATCTCAGTGGCCTCCCTGACTGGCATCCTGCTATCCTCCACTTGTCATTTTAGCTGACCTGATCTTGCCTGCTGACTTTAAACTGGCCCCATGGGCTTCCCCCAGTAGTTCTAGCTCCCATGTGTGCCCCTACACACACCAGGCCCCGCAGGCCCCAGGCCCACTGCCCCACTCCCCAGTGACGCCCTGGCCATCAGATGGCCCGACAAAAGCAGGTTCCTAAATGAACCACCAAAGCCCATTCCAAAATGTCTTCCCAGCTCTTATGTCTGATATTCTGCCTGTTACATTGGAGATGGGAATGGCAGATTCACCATGACACTAACTTAGCTTGGGCCTCAGGGGACCTCCTTTCCAAAGGCCCCTTCTAAAATGCTGTACTTAATTTTATCTTCTCAAGGAGGATTCAAAAAAATCCTAGGAACTTCAGGTCACCCAAAACCTGGGTCCACCCCTGCAGAAGTGACTTTTTCTTGAAGATCTCGTCATCAAATAGTGAGGTGCTTTGGGGAAGTTCATGGGTTTAATTCCAGGATTAAAGCTTACATGAGAGGAGCAGGCCTTTGCTCGTCTCTTTCCACTTGTGCATCAGGCTCAGAGCCTTCCCCCATGCCACCTGGGAAATGCTGGCCTGGGTCAGCCCTGCTCCGCTGTGGCCTTCAAGCAGAAGGGAAGGCTTCAGCTCCCAGCTCAGCAATGTGCCTGGGCCCCGCCCTGCTCCAGCTGTGTCCACTGGGCTTGTGGGGAAGGGCCAGGACCAAGCCAGATGATCTGACATGATGGAAAGGGAAATTCTCAGCATTCTTTCTGCAGAAGACATTTGCCAAATGCAGTGCAGTGAGGGGCAGCAGGCTGGGGTTTTCTCAAGCAGCCAAAAGCATCTTCAACTCTAGCAGAGTTCAGTGCGGAAAAAACTGGGTCACCTCTAATGAAGTCGAGTTTCAAGGGGAACAGGCATCCGCTGTGGAGCAGGAGGCCGGGAAGGGGAAGACCACGGGGAGGCCAAGGGAGGATACAGAACGGAGCCCTGAAATACGCTCTCAACACACACAGACTTCCAGTTTTGGAAAAATGTCTTTATATTCCCAGAAATGACCCAATGGAACAATCAGATTACATTATTTTCTCCAGTCTTCAATGCACAGTGATGGTTCCAGATGGAAGGGGCCAAAACCCTATTTTTAACTCTGTCTTGACGGTCACACTAACCGACCACCGGATGTTCCTCAGCGGGGACCCAAATGTTCATATTCCTTTCTCCCCACCCACAGGTCGGGCTTGCTGGGGAAACATCAGTCTGGCACTGTGAACTTCCCGAGCCAGCTTCAGCTGCTCAGCTTCCGCCAGGGCACTGGAGGGGTCTCTAGAAGGCTGCCAAGAGCCCTCTCTCCCCTACAGCCAGGGGAACTCTCTACGAATGACTTCCTAACAGACTCTCTTAGAAGCCTGTGCATTTTAATGACTAGAAGCCTTACATTATTATCATGTCCTCTTGACAAAGCCAAGTTTTCCTTCAAGACTCACCTCATTGACTCCTCCACAAAGTCCTGTCCAGCCATCTCCCACCTTGAGGCTGAACCAAGCCCCTACCCCCACCCCAGCATCTCTGCATGATAGCACTTATGACTGTATAATTGCCTACTTCTTTTTTTTTTTTTTTTCTTTTTTTGAGATGGAGTCTCGCTCTGTCGCCCAGGCTGGAGTGCATTGGCACAATCTCGGCTCACTGCAAGCTCCGCCTCCCTGGTTCATGCCATTCACCTGCCTCAGCCTCCCGAGTAGCTGGGACTACAGGTGCCTGCCACCACGCCCGGCTAATTTTTTTTTTTTTTTTTTTTTTAGTAGAGACAGGGTTTCACCATGCTAGCCAGGATGGTCTCCATCTCCTGACCTCGTGATCTGCCCACCTCGGCCTCCCAAAGTGCTGGGATTACAGGC